TTGACAGGAACTCTCGGTTTTCTGTACTTAATTCGAGCTGTAGGACAGCTACAGAGCTGATATTTAGAGAAACCGATTCAGAATCATCAGTTGCGTTTGTCTGTCGAATCTAGAGCTCTGAACTCGGTCTGCTGCCCGATGTTTGGTGTTTGGTCAGGCTACACAGGGCGCGTGCGCCCAAGCCTAAGGGCTAGAGCCAGTTAAATCCGCCTCCTCCGCTTTGCAGAGGAAATTTCTTTAACAATGTGCTCCACACCTGTGCACAGGCGCTCGGCAGCAGATAATTCTGCCTCCGTCACGGTGGCTCCTACATCAAACATGTAGGCTTCTGAGCTCACGAGTGTCCACGGGCCATTCTCTGGAGCAACTTCGATCCAGTGACCTCCTGCAGCACCCTCACTGCTCACTCCACCATCCCAGCATCCTCTGATGTATTTGATGTTTGTCCTGTTCTGTTTGATATAGTCGTGCTTGTAAATTCTGTAACAGTTTCCTTCTCTCGCATGGTGTGTAAGCTCATCAGCATAGGCATTGGCTTCCCTATAGATATGTTTCCAGAAATCCCTACCGTACGTCGGGCATCGTATGTTGTGTTGTTCACTCACGTCATACATGATATTTTGTATCCTGGCGATCCGTTTGGCATACCCACTGTTGTCACAAGCCCAGACTCCCCTCAACCATTGTACGACCGTTTTACTGTCTCCGCACATTTCAACAGCGATACCTTCCATCCCAGGGTCCCATATCGTAGTCTGTTCATTAATAACTGCAAGACGTCGGGCCAACTCGTCATCTGTCGGTGTCTTCGCAAACCCTCCCATCCTCCTCTCCTTACTCCTCCTCACAAACATATCCTCCACTTTGGGTATCTGTGATATGTGTTCCACAAACTCCTCCCAATCCGTCGGTACAACGCACGTGTCGTGCCACAGAAGCGACCTCCATTTTTCAAAGGGTGCATGCCAGCTGCTCGCCACGATTCGTGGTCTGCCTCTGAGCCGTCTCGTTCCCTCTCTCGACATCGTCCGACTTACTGCCGCCAGCATTTCATCCCTCTGCACCGTCCACTCCCCCGATACGTGCAACATGGAGCGCAGCGTCTGCTGCCACGATTTGCTATACACAGTGGACGGCATGTGGCACTTATATTGGGATACCTCCACGGCGAATTCAAAGTTGTACCTCACAACTTTCTCCACCAACGTTTTGAACCCCCCCTCCTTGAACATCTCCCTGGATCTGTTGGTACTGCGATCCCTGAATGCCTCCCACGTTTCCGTCTCTTTTCTGTGTAATCCTCGCATTGTGTTCAAACATATTCCTTCAAAGCTCCTCAATATGTTCAGCACATGTTCATTACAGCTCCACCCCCCACACATCCATGGCATATGATCTGTTGAACTCTGCTCTGATACCGTCTGAATTTCTCCCTCATGCTCACCGCGCGTGATCGATAGAATTTAATATCAGCATAGAAACACCGCCTGCCTGCATCAATACGGCGCCGCACTGCATGGAAATCCCTCGGGTTCGTCACAAATTTAACTCCCAGTATGTCGCACTCGCTTTTTCTCGGCAAAACCACAGCCTCACGTAATTGATAGATAGGGTAGGCTGGGGTCTCCAGCCCGTGCACAAATATCATCTCCCAGTTCGCAAACTAATGATTGTGGTCCCTGGTTTTGTCTCAGCCCAAAAACAAGGTACTCCAGGCTCTCAATCTTCCAGTCCATACCAGCCCGTCTGAGGGCCACGGTCAACATACTCACCATATTCCTCAGCTGATTCGCCGAAGATGCCAGCAGCACCACATTGTCAGCCCATATGTAATGGTTGACCAGCGCCTGTTGTGTCCCCTCGCCTTCCAATCGTACTCCATAATGACATGCTTCCCATGATTCAGCAATAGAGGCCCAAATTGCCTCCAACACAATATTGAAGAGTACTGGGCCTTCTTTCCCTCCAGTTCGCACCGACTTGTTATACAGGATCTCTTCGCTGCACACATCCTGGAAATCAAAAACTGCTGTGTTTCCAATCATAGGCTCCACAATTGCAATAATCAGATCTGTTGGATATCTCAGATGTTCCATCGCGCGGATCACCATCGAGACAGTGACATGATCAAACGCTTTCTTTATATCCATTATCCCCATATGTACCGACTCGCCTTTTCCCCAGAGAGTGGCATGACGTGTCATGTGCAGCAAAGGGGCCGTCATGTGATGAACTTTGTGACTCTTCTGGAATCCATATGTCGCCAATTTTTTGATATGTCCATGTTCCTCCACAAGAATAAGAAGGCACGCCATGTACCACTTGCTCATAACACTCAACAGCGATATTGCACGAGTCTCCCCAAATGTTTGGACCATGCTCATTTTTGGAATCAACTGTACGCACAACTTTCTCCACGAATCAGGTGACGACTTTTTCTGATCATGTATTTCTTGAAATGAGTGTCGTATCAATCTCAATGCATTCCAAGGTATTGCTTTGAGAATCTCCGCCACCAGGCCATCAGAGCCCGCTGCGGTGCCGCCCTTCAATCTGAGCCCGCTGCCCGATGTAGAATCGCGAAATTATTCGCATTGGTCGAGTCATCTTAAGAAGTGCTCTCGGTTTTCTTCACTCAACTTGCGCTGAGGGGGGCTACAGTGCTTGTTGTCACAGGAATCGATTTGAAGACATCAGGCGCGTCCACCTGTCGAATCCAGAGCTCGGAACTCGGTTTGCTGCCCGAATGAGGTCCGCGAAACTATTCGTATTGTTCGAGTCATCCTGAGAGGTGCTGTCGGTTTTCTGCAGTTAACTCGGGCAGTAGGGGGGCTGCAGGGCTGGTAATGACAGGAGTCGATTCGCAGACATCAGACGCGCCCGCCTGTCGCATGCAGAGGTCGAAAAATATTCACTATGAGTCAAAATGTTGGTAGTTGCTGTCGGTTTTCTCAACTTAAGTCGAGCTAGGAAGCTCTACGAGTTCCCCGGCGGTAACCAAGGTTGACGGTTTACCGCCGGCGCCCAGTAATTCGAAAACGCTGGCAGGCTAGTTGGCTCGAAAAATCTCGACTGAACTTTTCACAACTTTGGCTCGGTTGAAAATTATGTTCTCGAAATTCAACAATTCGTTAGAGCTCTAGTATTTTTTCCCGTGATATTCGATCTTATTCCCGCTCGCCATCTTGATCTCAGCTCGATCGGGTGAATATTACTATCGAAAAGCACTGTGGCGGGATCGGCCGTTTTGAGTCATCTTGATACGCGCTGACGGTTTTCTGGAGATAACTCGAGCTTTAGGATAGCTACAGAGCTGGTAAGCACAGCTAATCGATGTAGAATGATTAGGCGCGTTCGCCTGTTGAATCCAGAAGTCTGAACTCGGTCTGTTAGCCGAGCTAGGTCCGGAAACCTATTCGTATTATTCGAGTCATCTTGACAGCCGCTCTCGGTTTTCTGTACTTAACTCGAGCTGTAGGACAGCTACAGAGCTAATATATACAGAAACCGCTTAATAATCATCCTTTGCGTTTGTCTGTCGAATCCAGAGCTCTGAACTCGGTCTGCTGCCCGATCTAGAATCGCGAAACTATTCGTACTGTCTGAGTCATCTTGAGAAGTACTCTCGGTTTTCTTCACTCAACTCGCGCTCGGGGGCTATAGTGCTGGTGGTCACAGAAATGGATTTGAAGACATCAGGCGCGTCCGCCTGTCGAATCCAAAGCTCCGAACTCGGTCTGCTGCCCGAATTAGGTCTGCGAAACTCTTCGTATTGTTCGAGTCATCCTGAGAGGTGCTGTCGGTTTTCTGCACTTAACTCGGGCTGTACGGCGGCTGCAGAGCTGGGAATGACAGGAGTCGATTCGCAGAAATCAGACGCGTCCGCCTGTGTTGGTAGGTGCTGTTGGTTTTCTCAACTTAAGTCGAGCTAGGAAGCTCTACGAGTCCCCCGGCGGTAACCAAGGTTGACGGTTTACCGCCGGCGCCCAGTTACTTGGTAGCGTCTACTTGCCAGCGTCCAAAACCCGGAGAGCAAAGGGCGCACACAGACCACAACGCTTCCCTGGCGAGGTCTAAAACTGGGCGCCGGCGGTAAACCGTCAACCTTGGTTACCGCCGGGAGACTCGTAGAGCTTCCTAGCTCGACGTAAGTTGAGAAAACCGACAGCACCTACCAATATTCCGACTCATAGTGAATATTTTTTGACCTCTGAATGCGACAGGCGGACGCGTCTGATGTCTGCGCATCGACTCCTGTCATTACCAGCCCTGCAGCCCCCCTACAGCCCGAGTTAAGTGCAGAAAACCGACAGCACCTCTCAGGATGACTCGAACAATACAATAGTTTCGCGGACCTAGTTCGGGCAGCAGACCGAGTTCCGAGCTCTGGATTCGAAAGGCGGACGCGCCTGATCTCCTCAAATCGATTTCTGTGACAGCCCCCTCAGCGCGAGTTGAGTGAAGAAAACCAAGAGCAGTTCTCAATATGACTCGACCAATACGAATAATTTCGCGATTCTAGATCGGGCAGCAGACCGAGTTCAGAGCTCTGGATTCGACAGGAAAACGCAACTGATGATTCTGAATCGGTTTCTGTAAATATGAGCTCTGCAGCTGTCCTAGAGCTCGAGTTAAGTACAGAGAACCGAGAGTTCCTGTCAAGATGACTCGAATAATACGAATAGGTTTGCGGACCTAGCTCGGCTAACAGACCGAGTTCAGACCTCTGGATTCAACAGGCGAACGCGCCTAATCATTCTACATCGATTAGCTGTGCTTACTAGCTCTGTAGCTGTCCTAAAGCTCGAGTTATGTTCAGAAAACCGTCAGCGCGCATAAAGATGACTCGAAACGGCCGATCCCGCCACAGTGCTTTTCGATAGTAATTTTCACCCGATCGAGCTGAGATCAAGATGGCGAGCGGGAATAAGATCGAATATCACGGGAAAACATACTAGAGCTCGAACGAATGGTCAGATTTCGAGAACATAATTTTCAACCAAGCCAAAGTTGTGAAAAGTTCAGTCGAGATTTTTCGAGCCAACTAGCCTGCCAGCGTTTTCGAATTACTCTTAAGCTTCGCCGCTGCGCTCTCAGGGAAGCTCTACGAGTCAAGCTTTCCCGGACACGCTGCCGGGTCAGGCGAGCTGCTGCGAGAATTCTGGACCGGCGGAGACTGGGCGCCGGCGGTAAACCGTCAACCTTGGTTTTTTGCGGACTTTGCGGTCGACTGTGCAGGCTTTCCAGCCTAGTCGGAAGCAGTAAAGGGCGGACGACAACCCGCGGCATGACAAGAGACGTATGCTCATCGTCAAAAGAAGAATAAATTAATGAGATCAAATACAATCGAACCTCTTTGAGGCAACCGTAATTCTCAATCAACAAGCACGTCGAAACAATCAAGAAAATGAATGAAACCTGTCTCTGAATCCGTCTCACTGAATAAGCACGTGACACAATACAAGCAAGCAACAAAGAGAGGCGGCGGCAGGCAGCAGATACTCAGGTGCAATGCATAGTATTAGCAGGTCTCGTAGACACAGGCCTCGTAGACGCAGCACTCGCCACAGAACCTGATCGCACCAGTCCCTGAAGTCTCTGGACGGAGGCCTCAAGTTGATTTCGTCTAGCCTCCAAATTGGAAATTGCAACACCCTGCTTCTGTACCTGGGTCTGAACATTATCGATTTTACTACCCTGAACTACTATGGCGTCCTGGATCCTCTCAGTATTGTCATCCATCTTATGCATCGTCTGAAGTAGTAAGCACCGCATGTTATCCTCGTTATCCTTCTCCAACTCCGACATCTTCACATCAGCTGCCGTCTGAGCAGGAACAGGAACGTGCGAACCCACGTGCGCAACTTCATGATCAACACGCTGAGTCTTTAGGGTCTGCCCTACAGGCTCCCCAAGGACAGCATCATGCCCCGACCTGCAAGTCATAGTTTTCTTCTTCAACCTTGGTTTTTTGCGGACTTTGCGGTCGACTGCGCAGGCTTTCCAGCCTAGTCGGAGCAAGGAGCGGACGCATCCAAACAGGCAAGGCGTGAGTGAGCACAAACTCTTATTCACATCAAACCAATCCGAAATACGCATGTTCAACCCGCCGTATGACAAGAGGCGTATGCTCAACGTCACATGTGAAATAATCCACGAATTAGACGGGGAAACAACCCGTGGAAGAACGTCACCTGAAGAATATGGGGGGCTCCTGCCCTTTACACACCTGAAGCGCTTAGTGGGGCCCACAGCGGGCCGTGAAGCCATCATGGCTCCAGCGAGAGGTCAAACAGAGAGATAAAGTGAGGAAAACAAGAACAGGTGAGATACAAGCATTACAGCCTTCGCTGTTCTTGAACCGACAGTTGCATACAAGTGCGCACGAATAGCTTCATCCCAACTTGTCGAAACTCCTCGGGCGTCCGAAGAATATTATTCGGTAATCGCTGCACTTGGAAACCACAAGAAACTTGGCCATCTCGGCGCGGTTCATTTGTCCTGTCAAGAACCTGTGCACCTCGAAGAATCCGAGAAGATCCTCCAGCGTCGCTTGCACATTCTGGAGCATCTCATACAGTTTCCGAACATAATCTTTTTGGGCCTTCTTTGTAGGGAACCCACGTTCTGTCACCAGCTTATCAAACAAATCCATTCCGTTCTTTAAATACTGGATCGCATTCAACTCGTTGATGCTGGCAACAGCGTCAATCCACGCTTTGACATCGGCAATGGTGGCCTGAGAGCACGTCGATGTCCCCTTGACCTTGTCACGATCTCTCCCTCGAGCCCTCTGGCGCGACTCCTTCGGTACCTCATCGAGCGTGACGGGACGATTCAGACACCCCTGGGACGCTCCTGACAAGGCGCGGCTATCAGAATCAGACTGCACGTTCGGAGAAGACTCCGCACTCGAGGGTGCCCCCAGGTCCTCCTCCGCCGCCACAGTCACTTTCCCAAGAAGAACTCCTGAAGCTCCTCCCTCCATCCCAACGACACTATCTGTCTGACAGCCGACTTCACAATGAAAGTCCGCAACATCAACCGTCTGCACTCCAACATCAACCAGCGATTCAGAAGCCTGCACTCCAATATCTACATCAACCAGCGATTCAGAAGCCTGCATACGGCAAGAAAAATTATCCGAAACAGTCTTAATGTCGGCCTCCTCCTCCTCCTCCTCCAAACTGCGTTTAACAACAGGTGGATCGCGCAACAAGAGATAATCTAGAACCAAATCGACAGTCGCCCGCTCCAGCCCTGGTGGTGGGAGACACGTAGGTGGCACCAAACCATCCAGAGGCAAACGAATAGGTAAATGCACACAGTATCCGTTTTGAACAGCCAGCGCCCGACGCATAATGCGAGCACTTGCACTCCGTACGTGTGGCATAACGAAAGATTGCAGAGACTGCCTCGGAAGCACCCAGCAAAACAAATCAATTGAAGACAACTCAAGGCGATCAAACGTGTCAAATGAATGGCAGCGCAATATCACTCTAGGCGACAAACGTGTAAAACAAATCAATTGAAGACCACTCAAAGCGATCAAACGTGTCAAATGAATGGCAGTGCAATATCACTCTAGGCGACAAACGTGTGACTCCCTGACGCGCACTCGATCCCACTGGAGGTTACCCAGGCAGAGGGGATCAAATGTCAAGCGCCTTGAGCCGAGATTTTCTTGAGCGGTAAACCGTCAACCTTGGTTACCGCCGGGAGACTCGTAGAGCTACCTAGCTCGACTTGAGTTGAGAAAACCGACAGCACCTACCAACATTCCGACTCATAGTGAATATTTTTTGACCTCTGAATGCGGCAGACGGACGCGTCTGATGTCTGCGAATCGACTTCTCTCATTACCAGAACTGCAGCCCCCCTACAGCCCGAGTTAAGTGCAGAAAACCGACAGCACCTCTCAGGATGACTCGAACAATACGAATAGTTTTGCGGACCTAGTTCGGGCAGCAGACAGAGTTCAGAGCTCTCGATTCGACAGGCGAACGCGCCTGATGTCTTCAAATCGATTCCTGTGACCACCAGCACTGAAGCCCCCCCTCAGCGCGAGTTAAGTGAAGAAAACCGAGAGCACGTCTCAAGATGACTCGAGCAATACGAATAGTTTCGCGATTCTAGATCGGGCAGCAGACCGAGTTCAGAGCTCTGGATTCGACAGACAAACGCAAATCGTGATTCTGAATCTGTTTCTGTTAATCTCAGCTCTGTATCTGTCTTTCAGCTCGAGTTAAGTACAGAAAACCGAGAGTTCTTGTCAGGATGACTCGAATAATACGAATAGATCTGCAGACCTAGCTCGGCTAGCAGACCAAGTTCAGACCTCTGGATTCAACAGGCGAACGCGCCTAATCATTCTACATCGATTAGCTGTGCTTACCAGCTCTGTAGCTGTCCTGAAGCTCGAGTTATGTTCAGAAAACCGTCAGCGCGTATCAAGATGACTTAAAATGGCCGATCCCGCCACAGTGTTTTTCGATAGTCATATTCACCCGATCGAGCTGAGATCAAGATGGCGAGCGGAAATGAGATTGAATATCACGGGAAAAAATACTAGAGCTCTAACGAATGGTCAGATTTCGAGAACATAATTTTCAATCGAGCCAGAGTTCTGAAAAGTTCAGTCGAGATTTGTCGAGCCAACTAGCCTGCCAGCGTTTTGGAAACTGGCGCCGGCGGTGAACCGTCAACCTGGTCACCGCCGGAAACCTCGTAGAGCTTCTTTCACGCGTGAGAGTGCTCAGACTCGAAAGAGAGAGCTTCTCGAAGCATTTCTCGAAAAAGGGAAAAAAAAATCGTGTTGACATGAAGATGGTTTCGCCAAGTGTTTTGATAGTAAAAGTGCGCCTACAGAGCTCATATTGAAAGAGAGAGAGGCCCTCATATTCGTTCACAGGTGCGAAAAATCTGCTTTCTTAAAATGAATTGTCAAATATCTTTCAAAAAATTGCAAAACCACCCAAAAGTTGTCACATTGTCCGGCTCGGCCGAGTGGGCCAACTAGCTCCACCCCGCGCCGGAATTCCTCTAGCTCATCGATGCCGAAGAGCTCTACGAGGTACTGGGCGCCGGCGGTAAACCGTCAACCTTGGTTTTTGCGTATTGCGTGCCGCCACAGCAGGGTCGGGTCACCGCCCAGGCGATAGCCACACAAGGAGGCCTAGTATCCTGCCAAATGCAGGCATTCCTCCACTCCCAAAAGGAGTTGTCGGGCAGACTCTAACTCAGCTGCAGTGATAGTGCTCGAGGGGGGAAGGAGGAAAGAGGAAGAGGCCACGTTGGGCTCCCACACGCCACTCGGAAGAGTGACAGGATATTCAGCAACAGAAGAGGAGCACAAATGGAAATCAATCTGCCAGCCACAGCCTACGCCCAGATAGGATCTTCCACCATCGAAGCTTCCCCGAATGGCGTCGATCAGAATAGCGTTAGCTTTAACATGGGATAGGAAATCATGCCTAAAACGTGTTCTACAAATGCCCTGCCTAGCTCTGTGTGTTAACTCATCCGCAGCAGTATTGTCCTCTCTGTATACCCACTTGAAGATATGTCTCCCAAGACAGGCCGCCTGCACACCACATCTCTTAGCTAGAATGTCTAACTTATTCTGAATGCCGCCCACAATCTTGTCATAATGCACATTGGCAGTAAAATACAAGCCTTGGATCCACCGCACAACGCATTGAGAGTCTCCCTTCAGTTCAATGGCAATCCTTCCCACCTGGAACTCCCACTCCGTGTAATCCTCCAATATCTTAGCGTACCGTTTGGACAACTCCTCCTCCTTCTTCCTGCTGAGCTCCTCCGAAAGTACCTCCTCCTCCCTCTCTTCCATTGGCTTCCAAGGAATAGGATCTTTAAGAACCAGGAAATCAGAAGCACCAGGAACCTGTAGAAGCGTAAAAACTTCACGAGCAAACTTGACCCAGGCCTCCTCTGTCCATTCCAGAACATGGTACCAGCACTTCCCTCCCACGAGCTCAAAAGGTGTTCTCCACGGACGCATGCCGATAGGAGCTCGGCCAGTCCTCACACGAGTCCCAGCACGTCCAGCCTGGCTTCCTAAAGATAATAGCAGATCATCCCGCCTGGATTCCCACTCCATTCCTCCGTGCAACATGGACAGTCGTGCCTGCAGGTAGCCGTTGACAGCAGTGCCCGTGTCCACCACCGTGGGCTGATTGTAATAGCGGGTTGGGTCCTCGAACCTGTCTCTGAGTCTCGCCGTGTTCTGAGAAAGTTGGGTCCTCTGACGTTTGGCCTCATTCATGCACATCGTTTTTCTTTTCCGTCGGCTCATGGGCTCGGAGGGCGTCGTATCATCAGCAGGAGCACCAGGAGCATACGAAGGAGGCGGCACCAATTGTGAGCCACCCACCACAGAAATCTCCTCCACGCCTCCTCCGTCCCTGCCAAAACACGACAATGCAATATCCTTCGCCCATTTCCACTGCCGATATAGGAAGACCTGTGCGAGTGGAGGTCTGCCAGCTTCATGAAAAGCTTGCCTCCCTCTTTTGTACATGCGCGACATGAATACAGCCCACCCCTCCTCCTCCCTCTTCGCTCTCCACGTCATCCTGCTCAACATCTTCCCCTCCTCCTTGTGTATAAATGCAATCGTAGAACTGTCAACTGTGGCTCCTTCCAAGCCGAAAAGAAACTTAGATCTCACTCTAGATTCATACCGTGCAAATTTATTCTTCCAAGCAATCCTCCTGGAGGTGTAAAACGCTCGATCATTCCAGAAAGCACGAATAGCTTTTGCCATACGATATCGCACATCATCATGATCCTTGAAATTCCTCGCAATCTTAGTCCCCAGCACAATAATTTCATCCACCTGCGGAATGGTGATATTCTCGGGGAGAGACACATTGGGCCCCCTGGACATACCTGGTGGGAACAACGTCACCATGAGAGGCTCCGTCACACCGGTGGTAGTACCCACGTCCATGAACTCAAGACTGCTCTGCTTCCAACGAAAGCCGTGATCGTGGAGAGCCCACGTCAACTGTAAAATCATTTTAGCCAGTGTGGGGCGATCAGGAGCCGTGAGAAGCACGTTGTCCGCCCATATGAAGTGACTCACAACAATACCTCCTGCTTCACCCGAGAGTACAACACCGACAGCATCTCTCGCCCAAGCAGACGTAATGTCACCAAACATGACCAGGGATTGAGCAGTCCACAGGTCAGGTCCTTCCTTGGAACCTGTCTTCACACACGTTGTCCAAGGGAGCGTATCAGTGGAGACACCCTCAAAATGAAAGACCGCCTCATTACCAACAGAGTTCTCAATAAGACCATACCGAAGCTCCACATCAACACACAAACGCTCAAGTGTAGAAGAAGCAACTTGGACAGTGAGCGAGTCAAATGCAGTGGCAACATCCAGGGAAGCAAAAACAATATTCTCCTCCTTCCCCCACAATCTGGCATGTCTGCACATCGCCTTCAATCCCGACGTTACCTCATGTGTCTTACGACCTTGCTGGAAACCATACAAACACAGAGACGGAGCAACAACAGGAGCAATAGACACCAAATACGAATTGAGTAGAATACACAAGCAGCCCATGTACCATGTGTTAACAACAGAATTCACAGCAAGAGCACGACTGTCATCAAACCTCTTATCCGTGCCGTTCTTCAACATAATGGATGCACGGATGAACTTCCAAGACTCAGGTGCCTCTGCCATTCGCCAGAAGCGTCGCTGGAAGCAGTCAAGCACCACACGGAGTGCTTCCCAGGACAAAGAACGTAACATGCGTGCACTAATACCGTCAGCACCTACCGCCTTGCCTTCACGAAGCCTGGAACGAGCACGACAGAGAACATGCATGGTAATAGGAGAAGAAGTGTGAGTGCTGCGCGCACGTGCCTCATCAGCTTGAACCCGAAGCTGCTCCAGAGTCGCCAAATTCATAGCAAGACGTTCCGACTTAGAGTACTTAGCCCTGACCACCCTCGTCATATCCTCCTTCCACTTACTGCGGTCTTCACACCATTCCCCGTCGATCATCATAGAGTTAGTAACAGTCTTAGTCTTGACCCCATCCCGATAACGATAAAGAAGTAGACGTTTCATGAACTGCCTTCGAACACGATTCCAACGACGACGACTATCCTTGAACGTAGCCTCATCGATCTGACCAGATTTCCAGAGTTTGTGAACTCTGTAGTGGGCCTCTTTCACCTGAGCTTCCTCCTGGGTCAACTTCGGGACGAGTGAAGCCGATTTAAAGCCATAACAGCGTTTGTCGGCAACAGCCCCCTCCTTCAATCGTGATTCCAGGTCGGCTAGAGAAATGGATCTCCACCTAGTATGTCAGATCACCCTTCCCTCAGACTCCTCCGTGCAGTACTGATGTTTTCGTTTATTGTTTTGGCCGCTACCCCCACCAGACTTCCACCCAGCAACCTGCGTAACGGCCATATCAAACTCTCTGCACTGTTTCACCTCCTTACCCTCCAGCACAAACCACGAGGCGAACGATCGACTGCCAGTGGCCTTCGTCCTACCAGAGGACTTCCCCCTCAGCAAACATGGGAGATCAAAACATATCATCTTGTGGTCACTCC